TCGCCATCCGGGTCGTCGTCGGGTGGTGGTTCGTCGACAGGCCCACGAGAGAGACAGTCGGCGTCGGAGTGTTTTTTGCCGGACTTGTAAACGACGGTACTGTCATATTCTTGAAGTCTCAGGCTCCATCGTGCGAGGCGACCTGAAGGGTCCTTCAAGGTGGCTAGCCAACACAAGGCGTGGTGGTCTATCACAACTTTGAAGGGCCTGCCGTACAGGTAAGGGCGAAATTTCGACGTAGCCCAGATGATGGCGAGGCACTCCTTTTCGGTTGTGGAATAATTTGCTTCTGCTTTGGGAAGCGATCGGCTGGCGTAACTAATAACCCTTTCAAGTCCGTCAGTCCTCTGCACAAGACCGGCGCCAAGACCTACGCTGCTTGCGTCAGTGTGTATTTCTGTCTCGGCGAATTCGTTGAAATGAGCAAGTAACGGAGGCGTCTGGAGGCGATGTTTAAGCTCCTGGAAAGGGTGTTCCTGCGGCGTTTCCCACTTGAACTCCACGTCGGCCTTGGTAAGGTTAGTGAGTATATCGGCAATGCGGGCGAAGTTTTTGACGAACCACCTATAATAGGCGCACAGGCCCAAAAGTCGGCGCACCGCCTTCTTGTCAGTGGGCGGCGGGAAGTCGGTGATGGCGGCGGTTTTTCGTGGATCGGGACGGACTCCAGAATTGGTAATCACGCGCCCCAGAAACAAGAGCTCTTCGTACGCAAATCTGCACTTTTCTGGCTTCAGTGTGAGTCCGGACATCTTGATGGCTTGAAGTACAGCTTCAAGGCGCCGAAGATGCTCGTCGAAACTCGAGGAAAACACGGCGACGTCGTCCAAATACACAAGGCAAGTCTGCCACTTCAATCCTGCCAGTACTGTATCCATAACGCGTTGAAAAGTTGCAGGCGCTGAGGAAAGGCCGAAGGGCATCACCTTAAATTCGTAGAGGCCGTCTGCCTTAGCCGTCCTCGGGCTGAATGAACCTTGTGGACTTATGAGACGCGCAGGAAGGGGTTGCCCGCAAAAACAATGTGTGATAGCCTCTTAATATACTGCGTTACTATATTAGACTTCTAAGGACCGAAAAATAACCTTCTAGATTTTACAAAATTGTCAATTGAATGAAATAATTCGAGCTCTGTCATCATTTCGGTAAATTGAGCTTCGCATGTATGGTTTATACAGCGACAGACAATTACACCGCCTATCTTTCAAATCAATTGAAATGTAAGGTTTAACGTCCCAAAAGCACCTTATGATTATGAGAGACGCCATAGGGGAGGGCGCCGGAAATCTCGACCTCCTTGGAAATCTCTACCACCCAATTCTGAGCATATTGCCTCCATAAAAAATGCAGCCGCCGCAGCCGGGATTGGTCTAATGGCTAAGGTACTCGCTAGTACCTTAGCCATTAGACTACCGTGGTGGGGCCTATCTTTAAAACAGTTTTTTTTCTCGTCGTCATGAGCCAACTAGCCAAAACGTGTGCACTTATTTCCCCCTCTCAACTCAATATTCACACCGAAACGTTAAAGTTTTGAACTTGGAGTGATCATAAATCAATACTGTTGCCGCGGCCTGCTTATCTTTCACAGGCATTCAGTCTTAAGCATTAATTGACATTCCACTGAGCAGCTCGTGATTGAGGTAACCTGACATTACTTATGAAAATCGTACTAGAGATTGCCATTTCTGTTCTTTCGTATCTGATATGTGCACCGGCACCATACAAATGGTCACATTGGTTTGGTTCGGTGCGCGCTTAGAGCCATATGTGGTTTACATCGAACCTCTGGAGACAAGAGCAACGTTGTACGTGCACTTGTGGCGGAAACGTACGATATGTAAACCGTGCGGCACCTGACTTCTGCGGCCTCGAAGCCCAACACTTACACTACGCTATATACGGCTTCACCGTCAAGCGAGGGGTTTCTAGAAGCAGCGGACGAGGAGATGAAACCAGCCGCGAGATTGGTGTGTGCGCGTCCCGCGTTGTTACGCCTGCGAGTCCACACCGAACGCCAATGCCTCTGAAAAAATTCCCAAGCATTTCCCCGAGGGTGAACATGGTTAAGTGCGAATGAACGGGGTGATGCTATGAGGGGTATATATTAATTCGCACTATTATATTTATTAATCACACTATGGTGCCTTTATAGTGTAATGGTTCCTGGGAATCGCAATTTGATCACACGGGGGAGTTTACGTTAACTCACTGGCGAATGCCAACGGATTTTAACTTTACTCCCCCTCATAGCATCGCCCCGTGCATTCGCACTTAACCATGTTCACCCTCAGGGAAATGCTTGAGAGTTTTATTACTGATGATGAAAATTAAAGTGTAATTATTGAATTTAAGTGTTGTTTGTCATGAAGGATTTGTACACAGATACATTATATACGAAGTATTATTTATTTACACTTCACGACGCGTCCGGACGAGCAAAGTCCAGGGCTCGCACCCTCCCCCGCGCAGCACGTTCACTGGCTGGAATGGCTTCGGGAACGTCCACTCGCCGTTGACGATTGCGAGCGGCGTCTTGACGCCGGCCTTCATCGCCCTTCTCCGCCTGACGCTTGCGTTGTCGTTCCGCTTCTTGGGCCGCATTCGCGGCTCGATGCTGACGCCTCATCTCGGCCTCGCCAGCGCGCAGTTCACCCTCCGCTGCACGCTTCGCCCGCTTGTCCTCGGCCTCGTGAGCGCGAAGTTCGGCATCCTCTGCACGCTTCGCCCGCTTGTCCTCGGCCTCGCGAGCGCGCAGTTCGGCATCCGCTGCACGCTTCGCCCGCTTGCGTTCGGTCTCACGAGCCCTTCGCAGCGCCGCCTTGTCTTCCAACGTCGGCGAAACCACCGCGGTACCGTCACCTCCAACGACGGGTGCAGTGCTGGCATTCGGTTGTACTGCATTCGTTGTTGATGGTAGCGCTGCCTCCGGGACATCCATCACACGACCCGCTCTCGACGGGAGACTGAGAGAGAAGGCGGGCGCGTGAGGGAGAGGGGTGCGTGCGCAGCTGCAGCGAGCGAGGAGAGCGGAGGAGCGAGCGAAGGGGGAGAGGGTATAAGGCGCGTTACTGACACCGATATCAGCGTCGCGTCCGTGGCTGATTCGGTAGAGCGTCGCGCCGCAGCCCGCCAAGTCCTCTTTCTTTTAAAGATAGAGAGAAGACTGCGGACGCCGCCGACGGCGGTGGATGGTTTGGGGTCGCTTATAAAGTGTATTCACACTTAAAAGGCAATCTGTGTCAAGGCCAGCAATCGAGCCCGCCTGACGCGGCCAACTCAACGACGTCATCAAGCGGCGGCGCTGGCCTGTCACGCAACGCACCACGAGCTCCCTCAGCCCGCGAGCCCGTTGAAGCAATCGGCACCTTCCAGTCTGGCGAGTCTTACGCAATGTGGAGGAACGTCACTCGTCCTTGGCTCCAACCACGCGCAGAAATCGGCGCCTTCGAGTCTGGCGAGTCTTAAGCAATCAGTGGCAACATCCCTCGTCCTTTGTGCAACCACGCACAGTGGCGGACCCCATCGGGAGATTCCGACATCACGGTTAGCGGCACTTCTGGTTGGACATTTTATCACTCAAAGAATCCACCCGGTGCCTATAAAAAAAAGCCCCGCGGAGCGTCGCGAGCAGCTGACCTATGCGTGAGAGAAGCTTCTCGTCGGTTCGAGCCCCTTCGCAGTCGGCGCGCCCGGTGTCCTTAGCAGCGGCGAGTTTCGTGGCGCCCATCGTAACCTCGTCGGCGGTGCGCCTCGTAACAGCGTGCGAGAGAAGACATCTCGGCTCTCAGAATACCCTAGCTGTCGGCCCCAGTGCCGAATTTGTAACGCCTCTATTTCTTTGCTGTACATAAACCTTGCCTTAACTCACTGTCGTGTCGTCCGCTCGTCTATCAGCTCTGCGCAAAAGCAGTCGCGAGCTGAGAAACCTACGCTACCAAACGGCTGGTGACCAGGTCGGCGGAGATCGGAGCAGTGGCGCCTTCGGCATCGTGTTGGCGTCACCGTCTTCGTAACAGCGTCTCCTGCTCTTGCGCCGCTTGTTTGCTCTCCCGTAGTCCACATGCAGTTTGGTTCTGAGATCTCAGAACCAAACTGCGTGCTATTGAAGGAATTTGAAAACGACCAGCCAAAAGCTTCTCGGCGAGGCTCGGAACATCCCCGTCCCCACTATCTGAAGGCAAGCGTCGTGTACGCTTGCAGAGAATAGTATAAAAAATGGTGTGAAGTGAGTAAAAGTGAGGAGGAGGGAAAGAAGAGGAATGAGTAGAGAGAAAAAAAAGGGAATGTGAAGAGAAAAAATGAAGAGAAACGTGAAACTAGACAGAGAGAAATAGAGAAATAAACGAAAAGAAAAAGAATAAAGAGTCAAATAAATAGACAGTCAATAAAGCTAATAAACACCGAGAGAAAAACATTTAAAACACAGACAAAAACACAATAAAATTAGAGAAAGCGTATCTATCTATATTTTACAGCAAAGAGACTGCAGGTGAAAGGGCAAACGGCTATAGCCATGCTAGGACGAGCTCGTGGGAACGTATACGTTCCCAAGAGCTCTGCTGTGAGCCTGTGACCCAGCCTTGCGCAACTTAGGGCAAGGTGAGCGAATTGTTTTAGTTAACCTGTATTATTTCCCGTTTTGTTGTTTAAACATTATCAGTAATCATTTTCAGTAAACATTATCAGTCAAGTTTCTTGTATCCGACTCAAAATGCACCGTTTAAGCTGTGAGCTACTGCGAATAACACTAAAGAACAAAAGCCGGAAGCACCATTTAACAAAATATTGGACTACATTTGACCTCAGCCTAAGAAACACTCTAGTTTTTTTTTATCAAAGTAAAAGTGAGGTTCACACTCTCATTTTAATAGCCTTATAACTATAATATAAACATACATTAGTATATTAACCCTATGGAAACTTTGTGTCAGCGACTATTTCCTCCGTGCAATTACAGTTCTCGAAGGCTATGCTTTAGGCCAAGTCATGGCCTAAAGGTCCGGAAAGCTACGCACTTGAGCTCGAGATCATTGCTGTCTGCACTAATCATGGTCACCGATCAGGATATTGAACGCTTCTTCTGTAAAGCCTTCGAACTTGTCAAAGAATTTGGAGTGGTAAGCAGCCTAATTTTGCGCGTGTTTAAAAATGTGCTAGATGGCAAAGAAGTCATGCAGAGTGTGAGATCTGTCCATTTTTTTCTTGCAGGTTGTGCAAAGGGCAATCGGCGAAGGGAAACAGATCGAAATGAAGTCAGAATTCACTGATCTAGTTACTCAATATGATCGGCAGGTTGAACAGCTGCTCATTGGGAAACTTCAAGAGCAATATCCAAATCACAAGTAAGAGCCACATCGTGTTTGAACAAGTCGGTGTGCGTTCATGCTATGTGGGTATGTAGTGTCATGTCAGCGTTATTTTTTGTTTTTTGCGGTTTATCGGGGAAGAATCAGTCGCTGCGGGTATCAAAAGTGAGTTTACTAATGATCCTACTTGGATTATTGACCCCATTGATGGAGACATGAATTTTGTACACGGGTGTCACAAACGAGCGCTCAAAAAAGGGCACGCCGCCGAATTCTGGCGACCAAGCGCCACGGAGAAGCCTCAAAATCAACGATAAAGAAGAAAACAAGCATCCAAAGACTTCCCAGGTGGGCCATCTCTCCCCCCTCGGAAGCGTAGTTTTGCCGACCAATCTCCTCACATCGGCGGCCGAGCAAGCCCTGGAAGGTTCTCGAAGGAAAGGGGCGTGGTGATGCAGAGTTGCGTCACGTGTCGCGGACGGCCCTCGAAACGTCTCGCTCTTTCCCAAGCCTTGGCTGTGCACCGCGCCAAAGAAACGATGAGAATTTTCTTGAGTCTAGCGCGAAAGGTATTTAAGCGAGCCGCGGAGAAGGGAGATCAGGAGAAGAAGGTATGTTGCGCTACTGTGTGCGTAGGGTCTTTCCGCTGTGTGGGCGAAGCCTTTTGTCCTCAGTGACAAAGGAGGTGAAGAAGAGGATTTCCACCTGACGGGTGAAGACTCATGCTACAAGCAGAAGAGTGTGTCTACCGCCCGCGAGTGAAGACGCGTTGCAACAGCTGCGTGTGGGAAGCCGACGTGTTACCGCCGAAAATGTAAACATTGTCGTGATCCCACCGCTGATCACCAGTTGTTGTGATCCCGGGGTGCTGTGGTAGCGTGGTGTAGCTTCGGGTTGAGGAAACGACCGCTTACAAGATGGGGATACGAAAAACAAACAAGGTTTATGGCACTATTTACAAATATTTACAGCATGAGGTTAAGAGTTCACAAACCACGAGCGTGGTGGTTAAACCTTTACTTGGTTCAGAGCCTTCACAAACTACGAACGTGGTGGTTGAACCTTTACTTGGTTCTGAGCGACGTCCTGCACTCTGCGGCGCCGTTATAAGCCCTGTCGGGCTCCTCCTTCTTCAGTGGAACACCAATCACACACACACACAACAGGTGAGGGGTACGAGCATGCGCGGAGCACATGAACATCCAATTTTGAGTCAAGATCACTGCACTGAAAGGTGGCGCCGGAGGGGCTCTTGCTCGTCGTGTGTGTCACTGGTCGAGGGGTCCCCAGCTTCGGACAGCAGACATCAAACGGTCCGCCAATCTGTCTGCTCAATTAGCAGGGCACTTTGTGGCGGCGGTCGCCGTTTCTTCAAAGGAAGACGCTGTCTTTGTTGTCCCCTCTGGAACGGCTTACAGCTTCGTGGCGACACGACGTCTCATCCGCCGGCTAGCCGGGACAATACCTGGCGGGCATAAGCATTCGGCGAGTCGGCTACTTGTTTGAGGGTTAAAAGAGCGCCGCTCCCCCGTCAGATCTCGACGCTGGTTCCAAGAAAACCTGGGTTCCAGGCGTGGGAACGCGGCCCGGCCACGCTTCTCAGCGACAGCATGGCGCCTACTGATGCCGGTCATAACAGCTTCCCCCTCGCCAGATGAGTCACGGAGGGCAGCAGTCAACACTGCTGCTCGCAGGGACGACGAAAAGGTCAGTAGTTGAATGCCAGGAACTGGCCTTCGCTTGTGGCATGGTCCGGGTGATTGCCGAATCTTCGACAGCATCTCTGATACTCGACCACCTGTACAAGCAAGCACTCGGCCCCCTTCGATCAAACCAAGCCAAAAGAGGGATGGAAACCAATTTTCATTTCCTAGCTTTAACAAAAGCTCACACTCAAAACTCTCAGGACTCACTTGAGCTGAAAAACCGGACGTGCTACCTTACAAATTTACATAAGATGCACGAAAAAAACTAAAATATCAATTTTGATACAGAAAGAGCACCCCAGAATGGCGGCTGAGCGTGTCAACGTTTCCATTCAATTTGCCCTTCTTTTACCTAATGCCAAAATTGTATTTTCGAAGAATCAAGCTCTGCCTCACAAGGCGACTGTTCTTTTATGTCACGGTTTGCAGCCAAGTAAGGGGAAAATGGTCTGTCCCTACTTTAAATTTAGCACCTCTGAGATAACCTGCAACTGATGAATGGCCTACACAAGGCAAGCGCATTCATTTCCTGAAGCGCAGTACGTTATCTCACGAGAGCCCAAATTCTGGTGCAAGCAAAGCGCAGCTTTGCTTGATACCATTGTCGTCCTGATATAAAACAGCAGGCTCTTTTTCATCGCTGACTACTTTCATCGGTTCTGTCCCGCTGAGAGCATCAGTCAGGAACTCGGATTCAGTGAGCGCTACTTTTGTCCGAACGTCCGTCTTTGTTTACGGCCGCCCATAATTGTCTTCCACTGAGACATAAAGCTCTCTAGCTTTTCTGAATCTTTGGCCTACACTGTGGCCAAAATACTCTTAGTTTGCTCAGAATTAGAAAAAGCCTACCGTTTCGCTCATATGATCCTTGATCAATTGTCTTCAAAGAAAACCAACAAAACAGAGACAAACACTTCTTTCTAGAAGGTTCGTTTGGTTGAAGCAAATTGCCTTTGCTAATGCCTCTGAGTAAATCTCACTGGGCTCTCCTGAGCGTTCAATTACTCTCATTTCTAAGCATTGCAAAATACACGGCGCTATTAACCAAACGCTTAATCCCTCACACTTTGTCTTTCTTACGTTACATTGTAACACACCGTGTACAACACAAAAAATAACCATAGCTAAAAACCCCTGAAAAGCACCTCACAACAATCGCGAAGGTTTTTTTATAAAACCGTGTGCCAATGGCTCTCAAGTCTCATAACGCGCAACGACAACTGCACTGTGTTGCGCCAAACTTAACCATTTTACGAAATCATCTGGTCTATGTTAATATCTTCTTCCTTAAATGCCAATTCACGCCACATCCACATGACAGTAAAGGCATACGATATCAAACTAAACCTTTGAAACACTAAAAAAAACAACAATTTTTCCAGTTTTTACCTTCTCGGTATATTCGTACAAATGATTAATGGACTTCAATTTTCAGCCTTTAGTTCGGCGGTTTTCCCTTTCAAAAATTCACTCCGCATCATGTGACTTACAAACTTAAACAGACCAATATGCATCTCCAATTCAATAATCAGTAGCCATACTTAACACGCACGTGCAACCATTGTTAAAACTGACCGCCCCCTTTTTTCAACTAGATTCCTCTGAATCGCACACGATGGGGTCGTGGTCCCGGCAGTTTTGGAGCACGCCCGAGGCTACAAAATGCTCAAACACTAAGCAGTGCACTTCCGTCACACCTAATTTTACCCTTCGGCCTATTCCCCGTAGGAATTTGAAAGTGACGCCAGTAGCTCGGAGGGAGCCTGTGCCATTTTCTCTTTGTATTCAACCCTGCGCGGTATTTAGCCACTCTGCCCTTTCGACTTTGACCCTTCGGGCAAGGCCGCTTTCTCGAAGTCGTCGAGCGCAACCGCGCTTTTCGTTGGGGTAACGCACCTCGTTTCCCCCCTCTACACCTGGCTTGCTGCCGCTTGTGCCTCTCGGAACGCCACCATGGACGTTTCCTGGAACGGATTAACGGCTTACCCCTACGCCTTTCTCGTGACAAGGTGGGACCTGTCGTAGGCTTACGCAGTGACGAACGCTTCCGCTTCTTTCTTTTTCTGCGATGTTCGCAAATCACCTCGATAATAGGGTTGCACTGCTGAAGCATGGCGTTCTTGCTCTCACCGGCCACTGCGCTATCAATGCCTACATTTGACGATGTCGAACCGTCCTCTTGAGGCATGAAGAAGGTTTCCAGCCTCTTACTGGGCCCATTAGGGCTGCTGGCACCCTCCTCATCCACGCAAGGAGCGTCTTTCGACATCGTCCCCACCTCCAGACCGGCCACGGCCTCGTTCTCCGCATACTCTACCTTGATGAATTCCAGAATACGCGGGCCCTTCTCTGGCGCGATCTCTGTTTCTAGCGCTTCATGACGCGCCTCAACTTCCAGCGCTTTGTGACGCGCCTCGCCCTCAGACTCCGGTGTGAGTTTTTCTTTCTTTTTGCTAACAGAAGTTCCGAATCTTCTGATAAGCTCTGCTTTAACAACTTCGTAGTTGTTCGCGTGCTGCTCACTGAGTCGCGCAACAACATCCGCTGCCTCGCAGGGCAGAACCGTGCGTAGCTTCTGAGACCAGGTGTCTCGCTCACACTTCAGTTGACTACACTTTCGTTCAAAGAGTCTAAGATACAGGCCCATATCCCATGATACCTCATATGGCTGCATGCACCTAGACATATCGAACTCTGCCTCATTTTCGAGAAGTACTCCTCGCTGGGGTCCCAACCTCATACTCAACTCATAGTCTTGTTTGGAAAACTTTCTCTTGAGGCCTTCTCTCTCGTCTCCACTCTTTCCTTCCATCTGAGCTGCTCTTAGTTTTCTTTCGATGATGAGGTCCCATTCTTCACTTAGTTCCTCATCATCAGCCCCCAAATCATTAATCGCTTGAATGATTATGGGTTTTCGTGCCAAACCCTTTGTATCAATCCCCAATTCCTCACACAACAGCAACAAGTCTGACTTCTGCAGCTCCCGTAAGTCCATGATCGTACTGAGTGCTCGCTACTTCCAAAATAACTTTCCGAAACGGCGAAACTGAGTCTTTCGGCAAAGTTAACTACCAGTTCTAAAATTTAATCCTCTTTTAGAACCTGGTTCACTCAAAGGAAAAGCCAAGCACTCACCCATACGTGATCCATGTCTCGAGCCAACTGCTTCTCTTGGGCCGACTGTTGTTGTCACTTGTAGCTTCGAATCCGACCGCTGCCAACCAGTTGTTGCGGCTCGGGGTGCTGAGTCGTATCCCACCGCTGATCACCAGTTGTTGTGATCCCGGGGTGCTGTGGTAGCGTGGTGTAGCTTCGGGTTGAGGAAACGACCGCTTACAAGATGGGGATACGAAAAACAAACAAGGTTTATGGCACTATTTACAAATATTTACAGCATGAGGTTAAGAGTTCACAAACCACGAGCGTGGTGGTTAAACCTTTACTTGGTTCAGAGCCTTCACAAACTACGAACGTGGTGGTTGAACCTTTACTTGGTTCTGAGCGACGTCCTGCACTCTGCGGCGCCGTTATAAGCCCTGTCGGGCTCCTCCTTCTTCAGTGGAACACCAATCACACACACACACAACAGGTGAGGGGTACGAGCATGCACGGAGCACATGAACATCCAATTTTGAGTCAAGATCACTGCACTGAAAGGTGGCGCCGGAGGGGCTCTTGCTCGTCGTGTGTGTCACTGGTCGAGGGGTCCCCAGCTTCGGACAGCAGACATCAAACGGTCCGCCAATATGTCTGCTCAATTAGCAGGGCACTTTGTGGCGGCGGTCGCCGTTTCTTCAAAGGAAGACGCTGTCTTTGTTGTCCCCTCTGGAACGGCTTACAGCTTCGTGGCGACACGACGTCTCATCCGCCGGCTAGCCGGGACAATACCTGGCGGGCATAAGCATTCGGCGAGTCGGCTACTTGTTTGAGGGTTAAAAGAGCGCCGCTCCCCCGTCAGATCTCGACGCTGGTTCCAAGAAAACCTGGGTTCCAGGCGTGGGAACGCGGCCCGGCCACGCTTCTCAGCGACAGCATGGCGCCTACTGATGCCGGTCATAACAACATGCCCTCTCATACACAGTGTGCTTGTTGTAACAATTAGAGGGAAACATCCTGGGCTGTGTATTTTAAAAGCCACATATTTGAATGATACGATTTAGTAAAATATTGTCTCTTGGAATGCGCCAACTGCACATTCTCTCAACAGCGACAGGCTTTTCTTCGTTATCGCATTGTCTCACCACATCTCGTTCGCCACAGTTTCACTGCTCAACAACTTCAAAGTGAATATGTATTTAGAAATATCCACAAACAATTTATTGAAGTGTTGAAACAAAAATAGCCCACACATTTGAGTTTTTTAAGGGGCTCATAAAACTTAACCTCCGGTGATATGAAAATGAAAATAGAGATTCACAGCCGAGGGGGAAAGGGGGGGGTACACAATTTTTTTGATAAATGCTTGAACCACTCAACAGCCATTCAAAACTGCCTTGTGACAGTGCAGCAACTGCACAGAGTCGATAAAGTTGTGGCGTTGCAATGGCTGTCTACAGAATGGCCTTTCAAAAATGTCTGTGTGACACTGGCACACTTGTATGCATTACAGAAAGTAAAAATCCTAATTAATTACAATTACTCCTGTTAAAATACAATTGATTATCATGGTCAATTACAGCCCCTGAAAAGTAACTGAGCAATTACAGAAATGTAATAGATTACTTTTGTGCAGAGTGGTACATAACATAATACAAGTAATCAATTACTTATTAATTACTCTTCCAATGCTGTAATGGTCTTAGTAATGCGATTACATATTCTTGTAGTTTGATTACCGGTAATCAATTTTTTATTATTATCATTATTTTCTTGTTTTTTTTTTTTTTTTTTTCAAAATTTGCGACCAGTCTTCTGTAGCAGTCCTCGTCCCGAAAAATACGCGGCTGCTCTTTAGGGACCCGCATCTGTGTGAAAGGACGGGTGTCCTGCCATGTCAGATGGGGCTCCCTGCAAAGCCTTTTTTATTGTTTTTTTTACTTTCCTTGCCTTTACCTGCACCGCCTTACTAGAACACCAGCAACAGTGTAGCGTGATGCTTCGTAGGGGACATGGACACTAGCGTTGAAGCACTGTGCAATTATAAGCTAGTAATACGTACCGCCCTTCTTTCCAGTGCATGCACTGAGGAAGTGTTCATTGTAGAAGTTGGCCTTTTGTCAGGAAAACATGGCAGAATCAGCGACAGCAACTTTGAACGGCTCCTGTTGAAAGTTAACGTGTAACACTATGTCACAAAAGCTACAGTAAGCCGCCCAGCCTTCACGTAAGCTTACAGCCTTCTGTCTACCATGGAAACCTCACTAGTTCATTAAGTTTGAGTAAAGTTGTCTTATTCTGCCATGGCAATAAAATATGAAGGAAAGTAACACAAAAGTAAATAATCACATTTCTGTAATTGCTCAGTTAGTTTCCTGGGCCACTAATTGACCACTGTAACCAATCACATTTGAAAAAAGTTATCCTAATTGTAATCAGGTATTTATTTTTTTGTAACATGTAGAAGTCTGCATTTGCATTACTTTTTGTTGAAAATTTTATTGCCGTAACACAATAATGCTAGTTAACTCAAACTACTGATTCTCTCAAACTACCGATTCTCAGCCGAGAACTCACTGCGGTCGCGACTGAGAATCAACAATGTAAACAAGAAAATGAGCAACTAAAAACTGAGTTGAAAGAGGTAAGAAGAGAAATAGTAGGCATGAAGCAGTACAGTCAAAACATGAACCTGAAAGCTTTTGGCGGCTAATGAATATTAGAAAAAAATAAGTCTGGGACAGATCGCCATGTGTCTCAATACAAGTATAACTTAAAACGACATGAATGTTGTACATTTTGTACCTTCTAAGGATTAGAAGAAACCAAATGTCATCACAAAGTTCACGACTCGGTCTGCACGTGGCAGATTTCTCTCTGCAGCACGACACGTCTCGTTAAACACTGGCACTTTGGGCTTTCAGACGAACAGTCCTGTTTGTATTAATGAACACCTGTGCGCTGAGAATAAGTGATTGTTGGGCAAAGCTCGGCAACTGAGGCGTGAAAAAGAATGGAAGTTTGTTTGGATAGCACAGAAGAAGGTTCTCACGTACAAATCCGAGCAATCGCCTGTTTAAGTTACTTAAGTGTCCTGTAGTTCTATTGGATTCACTCTCCTTATGCTCAATGATAAAATGGAGCGTAGGCCTACAAATTTTTTTGCTTACTGTTGGTTCCTGTAACATGCCACTGAATAATTATAGACATGTTTATTCAACATGCTAATTATATTTGGCAATTTTTTGTTGATTTGAGCCATAGAGTTTCATAAAATAATAGCTAGAGTGGAATATGGCGCTAATATTTACGCAGGTTTCTTCAGCGGCGCTTGTACCCGCATAAGAATGACGGGAAGTACAGGCTTCGCATCTGCTTCGTATGGATCACGTTCTTGAGATTCGCGACGCTTCTTTTCAGAGTGTAAAACAAAGTAATATGAAGTTATAATAAATTAAAACTTGCTTCATTTTTTTTCGTACGCTAACTTTATTGCAAATGGTTCTTGTGACTAGGCGGTAGAAATGAAGCCTGGACAAATTTAACCACCAGGGTGCTCTGCCATTGCGTTCCAGATTTGGCATCAAGATGTAATGAAGTATTCTTTACATTTCAAAACAAACATTCTTGGTTTGCCCTAGAAATTATGCAGTGTCTATTTATGGAAATAACATCGCAGTATTAAGTGAGAAACACTTGACTTTTTGTCTGCTGTGATGCTAGGTGCGTCTGTTCAAGTGGTCTGCCACCAACGCACTTCTCGTTTTGTTGTGAAGTTGAGTCAGGAAAGCGTGGCGGTGCGTCTACTTCGCGTCGCCGTGGTTCTGCAGTTGATTTCAACAAGTTTTGGCGAGACGCACTAACAACAAACGTGAACTCGATGTAATATCCTGCAATGGCATGGAACGCTACGTCGATGCGCAGCGGTAAGTGGACGACGATTCGTTTAAACTGTCAAATACGACTCGTAAAGCTCCGAAGTCGCAGGACACTTCAGACCTGGTGGCTGAAGACCACTAGGTCTGAACAAAGGCGCTGCTTCAGTGCTTTTTACCGCACCCCATTACCCGCGCTGCGCAAAGAACGAAACTGAAACTGTAGAAAAAAGTCTGTTGACAGTTTGCTAGCTAACCCTATCCAATAGGTGACCGGTAAAATGGGCAATCGCAGGAAACTGTGGGATACGACGGCTTCCGGTTCGACGCTCCACACGGGTCAGCAGCGGCACGCGCGCATTATTGTACTGCTCCGTTGAAAAAAGCACATCTCTATTAGAAGTTTTTTTTTCTTGTTGTTGTAGTTTTTGCGTACTCTGACTGTGATGATGACAAGCTACGAAAGTCATGAACGGCCAGGAAACTTTTTTTATCGCTCTAAAACGATCTTCGATGCTTTTATGCTGCTCGGGGGTACTGTCAGTTTGGCTAGCAGATCAGTCAATACAAAAAACAGTTTTCATTGTATACAATACGTTACTGCAGATAAAAAGTCACCATTTTAAAGATTCCAGGGGATGGGGATGACTGTAGCAGTGTGCTAAGAGTTCACTTCGGGATAGCTGCTTAGTCCGACATCGGCAGTTGATCGGCATGAACTGTCAGTCGATCGGCTTAAACTGTCAAACACGACTTGTACAGCTCCAGCGTTGCAGTAAATTGAGAGGCCTAACAGTTTTCAGCTTCAGAAAGGCGCAGCTTCAGTCCTTTGCACCCACCTCACTATCCACTCTACGCGAAGAACGAAACTGAAACTGCAAAAAAAAATGATCCGTAGACAGTTCACTGGCTAATGCTGTTTCAGAAGGACCAGAGAGACTGCAGAACCGATACGTCTTCGGTTTATTGTTGACAGAACAGGAAAAAAATATATATCCAGAGCGTGCCCCTGGCTACTTCTTTTTCCTCTCCTCCGAGCTCCATCTTCAATCTGTTTTCTACATCTTCCCGCCGGCCAGATTCAACCGAAGCAACCTTCGAGCGAATACAACAGTTGAATCGACCTCTTGACTAATTTTCCTTCAGGTGTACGAAACAAGCATGTTCTCACTAGTCCATTCTTGCCTGGGAAAATCTTTTTGACCTTGCAGAGATTCCACTGAGTTCTTTTTCGCGCTTCTCCAAGCAGAAGTATATCTCCTTCTTGTACATTTGTGTGACGCTCTGTTTTTCTGCTGGCACACTTAAGCTCCCTCAGGTGCTCCTTTTTCCATCTGGTCCACCATGTTATCATTGCCCGTTTTCTTGCACTCCAGTAATTCAGCAAACTCTATTTTCCGAGTCTGTTTTCTTCCTGCTTGTTCATTGCTTGCCTGCCTCCTATAACGTCCGCCGGTGTGATGGGTTGTGGCTCGTTAGGATCGTCATACAGATAAGTAAGAGGCCGGTTGTTAAGTACTCCTTCTGCTTCAACAACCGCAGTCCGTAGTTCTTGTTCATCCAAAAGTCGAGCACCTATAGTTTTTGCCATGGATGTCTTTAAGCTCAACACGTCATCTATGAAATTCCATTTCAGTCCCAAAAGCTTGATTTGTCCCTCTTTTCTTATCCCTCGATCCAGATCATCTCCTTTTTCATCAAATAGTTTTCTTAGTTCGGCGTCATTTGAAATCCATTTTCTTAAATTCATTCCCGCATTGCGAAAAATATCTCGTGCTTCTTTGTATATCTTTGTCGATGTCGAGTATTCATCGGCTCCCAGTAAAACGTCATCGACGTAGATTCCTTTCTGGAGTTGCGCCACAACTGCAGGATATTTTTCTTCGAATTTATTTAAATGTTGATGAATCGTGGCCGCTTAAAGGAAGCTACTTGGTGTAGTTCCGAAAGTAACCCTCGTCATCCTTCACGTTTTTACCTTCGGGGTTGGCATATCTTTGCTGGGTATTCTTTCCCACCACATAAATCGCAGTACGTCTCGGTCATTTTCATGTATCTTGATCTGCAAGAATGCTTTTTCCATGTCGGCTGACATAGCGATCTTGTCATGTCGAAAGTTCATCAGCAAGTTTGTGATGTCGGGGTTTAGGTTTGGCCCCTTTTCCAAGTTGTCATTCAAGGATTCACCTGGACTCTGGCTTGACGATGCGTCAAAGACAATCCATATTTTTGTTGTTGTTCGGTCTTTCTTAATTACTGCTTGATGCGGCATGTAGTATACAAATTTGTTCTGTATATCGGATTCAGCATCTTCTTCGACGTTTTCTGCTATTTCTTGCTCGCAGTACTCTCGAATAGCTTTGTCATAGGCTAGGAGCTCATCTTTATCCTTGCATAATTTCTTGGTCACCTGGATAAGCCTCTTCTCTGCAATGGTGTTGTTGTCATCCAATGTCACGTTTTCCTTCCATGGTAGCCGCACTTGGTATCTTCCTGCGTTGAACTCCATTGTTTGTCGGACGTAGTCTAGCACATGTTCATCGTTCATCTTTTTTGCTGGTTTCTCCTTGATGCCCATGTTTTCCAAATCCCAGAATCTCTGCAGTTCGTCCACAGTCGTGTCCGACTTGGCACTGACCTTGAGTACCATAACTGTCGATGATTTCATTGGCACACAATGAAGTCCTACAGGACCTTGGACCGTCCATCCCAATATTGTTTCTATTGCCATTACTTTTGGATGAATCTCGCAAATGCGACCAGTGACTACAGTCCAGTAATAATCTGCTCCAATTAATATAGAAGTTTCCATATTTTTTCTTTCTTTGTCCGTCTTCTCGTTGTCATCAGCCAAACAAATTCCCATCGATCTTGCTCTTTCGTGTATTGTCAACGGTGGCGATGGTAGCACGTCACAGGATATAACTTCTATCTCCAGTGCCTCAATCGTGGCTGGCTCCGAGATGGGATCCTTCCTCACGCTGACCTCGACGACTTTCATGTCTAGTTCCATCTCTCCTCCTCCAAATGATCCTACAGTAATCCTTTCGGATCTTTTTACCTTGCACGCTAGTTTTCTTGACAATCTTTTGAGGATGAATGTCCTCTGACTCCCGTTGTCCAGCAGAATCCGTGCGTAGCACCCGCTGTCTTCTCCCTCCGTCCACGAAAAGGCTGTCTGCAGTAGTATGCACTTGTGTTCATCAGACTGCTGTGCGTGCATGTTGCAGGACTTGCTGGTGTCTAACCAGTCAGGTTGCGCGCTTTTACGCACTTGCTCAACATCATTACCGCTTTGCTGCTGTGCTGACTTTCCTGCAGGTGTACGTGGTCGACACATAGATGTTGCGTGCCTTCCCTTGCATGTTTTGCAGCGTACGTTAGCGCGGCATATCTTTGGTGAGGTCTGGTGCATCTGGAGCACCTTCGTTCTCGTTGCAAGGCTTCTTTCTTCTGTTGCATACTAATGCTTCTTCTGCAATCTTCCGTGTAGTGTCCAGTCATCTCACAGAAGATGCATTTTTTAATCGATATGCTTTGAAGCGTAGATGTTCTAGTCCACCTCATACTGTGCAGTGACTGGGTCACGTCATATTTTTCCTCTCGAGTTTCTTCTCTGCTCCGTATATATAAGTTTAAAAACTGCATAATTTCTTTCAAACTGCTCGTGCTGTCTCTTGACGCTGAGTTCGATTCCCTAGTTGCTGGCCTGTTGTCACCTTTCTCTATTTCCTTCATCTTCATCTCAATCCTCATATCCACCGGTAGCGCAGGTTTTACAACAGGAGGTATCACTGTGGCATAACTATCCATTTCCACTCCTAACGACTCCAGTGCTCGTGTGTTCACTTGCAACTTTTGGAAGTGTTTCTTCAACCCATCTACATCTTTACGACTCTTCACTGCTTCCAAGTTTGCAAGCTCTTTTATGTAGGTCTCTCTCAAATTATCTTCTCGTCCGAAGGTTTCTTTCAGAAGAGTGACTGCATGCTCGTAATTCTGATCAAAAAACTGCAAACTTTCTATGAGGGACACAGCCTCCCCGCTCAGAGACGCCAGAAGGTAATTAAATTTTTGATTCTTCGGCATGTTCGCTTTGTTATGCACTGATGTCTCGAATTGATGCCAAAACCTTGGCCATGCTGTTTTTTTCCCATCAAACTTGATCATTTCAAGGCGTGGCAACTTAACAAGCTTTTGCGTCTCCGAGATTTGGTTAGTACCTTGCACTGAGCTCGCCTGTTCTGTGACTATTCTCGTAGTCAGTTGCGTCGCTTGTTCTAACTCGCGTAATTGCTCCTCTATTTTTGTCGTTGCAGCGACTATCTTGATCTCATAATGCAAAACTCTTTCAAATTCCGTCTCCGCGTCGTCTTCTTCAAAGAACGGTTCAATCTGTTCGTTAACTTGTTTTAACGTCTGTGTCACGCTCTTCATCTGGTTCAGAAGCGTCATAAGTTGTGCTCGATCGGCGTCTTCTTCTATCTTCTTATTGATTTTGCTCGTAAGCGTCGTCATATTTGCTCGAAGCGTCTTCCTCTTCTTCGATAGGACCTCTTTATTCATGCTTAAAACGTGTTGAAAGAGCTCTTGCCTGTTTATGTGCGTCGCCAACAGTCGTCGGTCGTGGTCTTTCTCTCGACGGTTCGTCCTTGAGCCAGACGCCGCTGCTTCGTTGTTCAACCCGTTGTTGCGAATGGGGTTGAAGTCTGTGCGTCTGTCTTCAGATCCTCCTGGTCACGGCACCATGTTTCAGAAGGACCAGAGAGACCGCAGAACCGATACGTCTTCGGTTTATTGTTGACAGAACAGGAAAAAAAAAATATGCAGAGCGTGCCCCTGGCTACTTCTTCTTCCTCTCCTCCGAGCTCCATCTTCAATCTGTTTTCTACAAATGCGATCCAATCTGAAGCCTGTACTTTCGATAATTTTCATGAGGGTACATGATTGCAGCACCAGATTCCTCTCTAGGTATTATTGTATGAAACTCTATTATTTGAGCTGATCTTTCATTCTTGATTTACACTTACTACAGTTTGCCCGACTGAACA